ACAAAGACTTTAAAGTAGGCATTGTTAAAATGTTCTAAATAAGGATGAATACTCGTAGAATGAAATGAAGACAAAGTCTCAGCAAAGAAATTGAAGAAGTACTAAATATACATTTTATTTTTTTTAAATATATTTTATTGATTTTTGACAAAGTCTCAGCAAAGAAATTGAAGATATGAAGAAGTACTAAATATACATTTTATTTTTTTAAAATATATTTTATTGATTTTTTACAGAGAGGAAGGGAGAGGGATAGAGAGTTAGAAACATCGATGAGAGAGAAACATCGATCAGCTGCCTCCTGCACACCCCCTACTGGGGATGTGCCCACAACCAAGGTACATGCCCTTGACCGGAATCGAACCTGGGACCTTTCAGTCCGCAAGCCGACGCTCTATCCACTGAGCCAAACCGGTTACGGCCTAAATATACATTTTAGAACTGGAGAATGCTATAACCAAAATAAAAAACTCAATGGATGGGCTCAATCAAATGGAGATGTCAGAGGAAAGTGAACTTAAAGACAGAATGATAGAAACTATGCAATCTGAACAAAGAGAATCAAGAGTTCAAAAACAGAGCCCTCAGTAATCTGTGGCGCTTTACCAAAGGTTTAACACTGGTGTCATTAGAGTTCCAAGGGGAAAAAGTTGTGATATAGAAATTCAAAAAGCTCAGTAAACACCAAACAGGATAAGCTTCAAGAAATCCATGCCCAGACATTCCATAATTACAACACTGACAGCAGCCAGTGAAATGATGCATTGCTTAAGGGAACAATGATTTGAAATGAATGACTGTAGATTTCTCATCAGAAACTATGGAGAACAAAAAGAAATGGCTATTTTAAAGTGCTGCTAGAACTGAAACCCAGACTTCCATACCAATGCCTTTTTTTTTCTTTTTTTTTTTTTATTGTTTTCAGAGAGGAAGGGAGAAGAAGGGAGACAGAAACATCAATGATGACAGTCATTGATTGGCTGCCTCCTGCACACCTGGCCTGCATCCTCTCGCAATCCATGACCCCTCGGGGGATGCAGCAGTGCGCCAAGCCGCAGGCGGCCAGGGAGAGGGTGGGCCGGGTGCCGCACACTTGTGCTCATCCCGCTGCATCTGCTACTGCCTCTTGGTAGCGCTACCACGGTGTCAGAGAGGCTCCCAACTCTGCAGCAGCTGCGCTTGCCAGTACAGCCGTGTGCCTGGCTTCTGGCTGAGCCATGCTCCCCCTGTGGGAGCACACTGACCACCAAGGGGCAACTCCTGTGTTGAGACTCTGTCTCCTGATGGTCAGTACGTGCCATAGCGACTGGTCGACCGGTCGTTCGGTCCTAAGGGTCACTTAGGCTTTTATATATATAGATAGTAAGTCCTAAAATCAAGTAGTTGATTCCTCTGTTTTTTTTAAAAAAAAAAACTGTTTTCTTTGTCCAAGTTCTTATGTCCACCCATATAAATTTTAGAATCAGCTGATCTATATCTGCAAAAATTCCTGTTGAAAATTTTTATTGCAACTGAGTTAAATATACAGATTTTTTTTTGGGGGGGGGGTGATTGATAGTTTTACTATGGTGAGTCTTCTAATCCATCAACACAGTATGTATCTTCATTTATTAAGATTTTCCTTCCATCAATTTATAGCTTTCAGCACACAGTTCTTGTTCGTGTTCTATTAGATTCATACCTAAATATTTCATTTTGGGGAAGCTATTGCAAATGGTAGTTTTAAAATTTCAGTTTCTGATTGTTCCCTGATTAAATACAGAAAAACAATAGATTTTTATGTATTTTCCTTATATCCTACAATCTTGCCAAACTCATTAATTCTATGGGTTTTTCCTTTGATTCCCTGGGATTCTCTATATAGAAAATTGTGTTATCTTTTGAGTAGGGGAAATTTTTATTTCTTTTTAATCTATATGCCTTTTCTTTCTTTTTGTTGCTGTATAACACTGGCTAAGACTTCCTGAACTATGCTGAATAAGACTGGTGAGAACAGACATCATTGCCTTTTTCTTGATCTTAGAAAGCTTTCAATTTTTCACACACACACACACACACACACACATACATATACATATAGATATTAAAATGAAAGTAAAATAAAGACACTTTTAGACAAACAAATCTAACACAAACCTGGGAGAATGCATTACCAGTATACCTATACTAAAAGAAATTCTAAAGGAAAATTTAAAAATAATATATTAAATGCAATGACAGAAGTAGTTACAACTTGGTAGGGAGTATTATAGACAAGATGATATCTCAAGACACTCTCAAAGAATGATTAAAAACAATCAGAAGCCCTGGCCGGTTTGGCACAGTGGATAGAGCGTCGGCCTGCGGACTGAAGGGTCCCAGGTTCGATTCCGGTCAAGGGCATGTACCTTGGTTGCGGGCACATCCCCAGTAGGGGGTGTGCAGGAGGCGGCTGATCGATGTTTCTCTCTCATCGATGTTTCTAACTCTCTATCCCTCTCCCTTCCTCTCTGTAAAAAAAAAAAAAACCAATAAAATATATTAAAAAAAATAATAATAAAAAAATAAAAATAAAAATAAAAACAATCAGAAAATTAAAAACAAAACCACAACCAAGAATTAACCAAGCTTCAGAAAGAGGGGAGGGCTGTGGAAGATAGGATAGAAAGGACACTCCAGACAAAGAGAATGGTGTGAACAAAGGTACAGAGGACAAATTTGGACTTTAACCATGAACAAAGGAACCACTAAGGATTTTTAATGGGACAGTTTATGGTAAAAATTGTGGGAAACTTCTCATTTAAGTGCCAGAGGTAGTTTCAAGTGGAGGTACAGTAGTCCCCTCTTATTTGTGGGGGATATGTTCCAAGACCCCCAGTGGGTGCATGAAACCACGGATAGTACTGAACCCTACATATACTATGTTTTTTCCTATACATACATACCTTTTCTCTTACAGGAAGCACTTTACAGCTCCTCTTTGTTGTATCTGAATTGCCAATATCACTACACTTGCATTTGGGGGCCATTATTAAGTAAAATAAAATATTATTTGAATGCAAGTACTGAGATACAACAGTTGCTCTGGTTACTGAAAAGGCTACTAAGTGACTAACAAGTGGGTAGCATATACAGCATGGATATATGCTACACAAAGGGATAATTCATGTCCCAGATGGGACAAAAAAAGGACAGCACAAGATTTCATCATGCTCCTCAGTATGGGACACAATTTAAACCTTACCAATAGTTTGTTTCTAAAATTTCCCATTTAATATATTCTTATATGGCTGACTGCAGGTAACTGAAACCTCTGAAAGTGAAAAAGTGAATAAAGAGGAACTACTTTATAGATATTTATTTGTGGTTTGGGGCTAGAATGTGCATGGAAGGAAACAAAGCCATGAGCCAACAGGTAACAAAGAGTAAATTGAAATAAATCTTCAAAAGATACTAAAGAGCCCAGCTGGTGTGGCTCTGTGGTTGAGCATCAACATATGAACAGGAGATCACAGTTCAATTCCCGGTCAGGGCACATGCCCAATAGGGGGCATACAGGAGGCAGCTGATTGATGATTTTCTCTCATTATTGATGTTTCTCTTTCTCTCTCTCTCTCTCTCTCTCTCTCTCTCTCTCTCCCTCTTCCTCTCTCTAAAATCAATAAAAACATTTTTTTAAAAAAAGGTACTAAAGATTCTGATGAGAATGAAATATGAGTATAGTTTATAAAGGAGGGAGAATATGAGCGTGATGAGGGGATGAAGGAAATTTAAGTTCATGCATAGAATCTTAGTGCGTTCCTATATTCTTTCAAGTTCATTCATTTAAAAAAAAATTTTAATTGATTTTGTTGAGTGTGAAAGGAGAGAAAGAGAGAAAGACATCAATTTGTTGTTCCACTTATTTATGTAGTCATTGGTTGACTCTTGTATGTGCCCTGACCAGAGATCAGACCTGCTTGGCATATCAGGACAATGCTCTAACCAACTGAGCTACCTGGCCAGGGCCAAGTTCGTTCTTTAATTCTAGAATAAGATGCTCTATGCAAAGGTCTGATAAACATCTGTAATGTAAAGGACTTTGTGACAATTCTTTTGGTATAGATCAGGGGTGGGCAAACTTTTTGACTCGAGGGCCACAATGGGTTCTTAAACTGGACCGGAGGGCCGGAACAAAAGCATGGATGGAGTGTTTGTGTGAATTAATATAAATTCAAAGTAAACATCATTACATAAAAGGGTACGGTCTTTTTTTTTTAGTTTTATTCATTTCAAATGGGCCGGATCCGGCCCGAGGGCCGTAGTTTGCCCATGGCTGGTATAGATTATATACCTTACCTTCATTTGTGTTTCTAATGGTGTTTGTGCCAAAAAAGGAGGTTGTCCCACCAACATTTCAAAAAGAATTACACCAACACTCCACCAATCACATAACTGTGTATAGCCTAAAATAAGATACCAAAGTTATAGTTATTTATAAGCACTTTAATTAATATAATCGTAATTAATATTGTCACAAATTATACTATAAAATTAAGTTTTATTATAAACCTGAACACTAAGCTATATTCTAATCAAGTTTCAGCTGGAGATTGTTTATAAAACAAATATTTTACCTGTTCGTAACAACACTTCAGGTGCAATATAATTGGGAGTCCCAACCAAAGAATGTGCTAGACATCGCTGGTGCTGGCGTGCAGCTCTCCGTTCTAGTGGCTTCAATCTATCTCCACATCGACAGTTAGAAGGGTCACCCCATTCATTACTGAAATCCATGCTATCTTGCCGTGAATGGTCACCTGTAAAGTAAAAAGAAATAAAAGCAATAAGAACAAGAGTAAACCAAGAGTCTGTTTAATTTTTTGACATCATGGTTTATAGTTAACAACACTCTTCCCTTATGACAAGCTAAGATACAATGTATGCCAAATCACTGATGGTGTTTATTAATGACTGCAGCTTGTGATCCACAGTATTAATAGGACAAATGTTACACTAAGAAAAATTAGCCCAAGATTCAGAAATGTATTCAATGTTAAATGATGATAAAGTCAGGAGTAGGTAGGATTAAGAATTTGTTACTCAGACTGCTCCCCATTACTACTCTGGACAAAGTTCTAAACAAATTAGATCAGTGTTTCATTCATTCAACAAGTGACAATGATAAGAAAGCCAGGGTTGTTCTCTCAGGCAGCTTCTCTGTAGGGAAGAAACACAATGAACAAATACATATGTAAGAAACAGGGCTTCTGGTCAAGATGGTGGCATAGGTAAATGGTACTTGTTGCCTCCCACAACCACATCAAAATTTATAACTAAAATACAGAACAGCCATCATTCAGAACCACTTGAAATCTACCTGAATGAAAGTCCTACCACTAGGGAATTAAAGCAGCAGCACATCAAGACTGGTAGGAGGGGCAGAGATGTGAGGCAGAATCTTGGGAACCCTGCTGGTCCCACATCCACGTGTGGCGGTTTAAAATTGGGAGGGATATCTTGGCTGCAGAGGTTTCCCTGAGGACCACGGGGTCCGTCCCCCACACCATGTCGCCAGCCCAGGGTTCCAGTACCTGGAAGAGAAACTGCCACAACTTCTGGCTATAAAAACCAGCAATGATTGTGGCTGAGTGACATGGAGGCTGCAGGAGTTCCAGGCAGTTCCTTTTAAAGGACATAGCATGGGACTTAGTCTCACTTCCTCTGAGCTCCAACACTGGGGCAGCAGCTTGAAAAGAACATGGGACATTCAGGGAGGAACTAACTTGTCTCAAATCAGGTTAAGAGATGGAAGGGCAGTTTTCTCCCAGACGGAAGTGTTCCTTTGCTCAATCCTCCCTACCACAGAGATGACAGGCTGCACCATATCTGAATCTCCATCATACTAGCTTACACTTTTCGCCCCACCTGGTGATTCCCTGAGACCCCGCCTCTCCCTACTTGGAAGCTCATCCAAGGCATTTCCAGTGGCTTTTCCATACAACTGGCCTCTCTTGCCTCATGCTCTGGACTTTCCTAAATCTCTCAAACATCAGCTGGCATCAACGTGCCCAGTATCTCTCAATAAATGGCCCCAGGCCCAGCACTAGCAGCAGCCTACCCTGGTTCACAGCTTGGCACCTCCTGGGCACCTCCAAGCTCAACACAAGTGGCAGCCATCTGTAGATTGCTTTGTAGCTCATGCTGGGTGTCCCTGGGCACAGGCAGAGGCTGACTTTGCACCTCCTGGGAGGCCCCAGAGCCAGTGCACCCAATGGTCGACTTCAACCATGCCACATTACAACCCTACCACCTCCACAAGTAACACATTCAAGGGGAGGACTCAGTGAGCACCACAGTTCCACTGAAGCAAGTCCTGTTCCATAGGGTTGGCTCCTGCACAGCAGCTGTTCCACTATCGTCACAGCTGGTCCACAGAACCAACTGGCCTGGGGGTAAATCCCTCCCAGTGACACCAACATCAATCAAAGCTCAACTACAATAGGACAGTGCATGTAGCTCACACAGGGGCACATCTGGAGTGCCCAGCTCAGGTGACTGGGGAGGCTAAGACATACCAGATTCTACCAAGTCTGGAGACATACCAGATTTACTTAATACAGAGAAAAAAAATACAGGGAAGGAGCCAAAATGCAGAGACAAAGAAACAGGAGAAATCTCCAGAAAAAGAACTGAATGAAATGGAAGCAATAAAACTACCAGATACAGAATTCAAAACAATGGTTAAAAAAATGCTCAAGGAACTTATGAGAACTTCAAAGAACTTAGTAAGAATTTCAAAGCAATTAGTGAGAACAGCAACAACATAAAAAAGGACCAGACAGAAATGACATGTACACTAACTGAAATAAAGAATAATTTACAGGGGATCAACAGTAGAGGATGCCAAAATCAAATCAAGAGTTTGGTATATAAGGAAGCAAAAAACACCCAATGAGAACAGCAAAAAGAAAAAAATCTCAAAATATGAAGATAGTGTAAGGAGCCTCTGTGTACCAACATTCACATCATGGGTACTGGAAGAAGAGAGGGGGCAAGAAATAAAAAACCTGTTTTAAAAAATGACAGTCAATTTCCCTTACCGGTGAAAGAAATAGACATACAAGTCCAGGAAACCAACTGTCAGCTGGTTTCTCAACTGAAACTTTATAGGCCATAAGGGAGGCAAGAAATATTCAAAGTGATGGTTGCAAGGATCTACAACCAAGATTACTCTAGAAGGTCACAGGACTTTAGAACTGAAGGTCAGATAAAGACAAGGAAAAGCTAAAAGAGTTCATCACCACCAAACCAGTATTACATGGTATGTTAAAGGGTCTTCTTTAAGAAGAAATGAAAGATCAAAAATATGAAAAATGGCAATAAATGCTTATCAACAATTGAATCGAAAAATCAAAATAAATGGACAAGGAATCTGATGAACAAAATAAACTGATGAATAAATAGAACCAGAGGCATGGAACATGGAACAGACTGACGAATATCAGAGGGAAGTGGGGAGAGAGGCCAGGAAGAGATTAACCAAAGAACTTATATGCACATATGCATTACCTATTGGACACAGACAATAGGGTGGTGAAGGCCTGGGAAGGGGCGAGAACTGGGTGGAGGGGAGCAATGGGGCGGAAAAAAGGGGGACATCTGTAATATTCTCAACAATAAAGGTTTAAAAATAAATCAATTTTAAAAAGAAACATAGTGATGCATCCCATGTTGAGAATCAACTGGGGTGATGTGACAAATTGAAGCGACATATGTAAAAAACAAACGGGAATCAACCATTTAAAAACTAGGGCTATTAATGGGGGGGATGAGGACACATTTGTAGTACCTTAACTAATAAAAAAATAAAAAAAAACTAGGGCTAGGCATTCTATACAGAAACAACAGTAACAGAGAAAAGACCCGTGTAATTATAAAAGAGGAGAATGGTAGGAAATGGAGTGGGAACCAGTGCACATGGATTTTGTAAACAAAAGACATGGTTTGCCTTTTATTCCAAGTACAGTGAGAAGACATTGGAGAGTATGAAGCAAGAAAATGACAAGATTTGATTTACACTTAAACAGATTATAAGGGAGGACAAAAGTGAAAAACCAGGTAAGAGGCTATTACCCCAAGTATACAGCTTAACATACAAGTTAAGCTTGGTGACTGGGGAGGCTGAGTCCAGTCACTTAAGGTAATAGTAGTGATGGAGAAAATTTCAGGATATATTTAGAGGTGGAGTAAGCAGGACTTATTGATGAATTACATGTAGAGGGTATAGGAAAAAAGAATCATGACAACTAGGTGTCATGATGATGGTGGTATAACTTACTAAACTGGGAAAAACTGGAGGGGGAAGGCTGGAGGGGGAACAAACAAATTAAGAGTTGTTTATTGGTAATGTTAAGTCTGAAAGGCCTATTAGAAATCCATGTGAAAGGGAGACACCATTTCTGGAGAGATTTGGAAGTCACTGACATAGAGATGGCATTTAAAGCCATGATTAGATGATATCACCTAGAAAAATATATCTAAAATTAACCCAGCTGTAATCATCTGGGATGTTTGATTAAAACACAATTTCTATACTCTGAAGACTTTCAACCAGTAGACTGGAATAGAGTCTAAAAATCATATTTTTAAGAACCCCAAATAATTCAGGTGAATCTGGAAGACATTATATTACATTAAGCTGAACATTAAAGTAGGTTCAGGTGTCCCAGTTCTGTCCATTTACTGTCAATCTACTCTTGTTCACAGAAGGCTAATATTACTTACCTCAGAGGATTGCTCTAAGCATTAAATTAGAATATATGTAAAGCACCTAGTAAGTATTCAACAAATGTCAGATCGACTTACACTTCCATTAGCACATGAAGGGATCTTGGCACTGTGGTGTAGCAGAAATAACATGGACCCTGCAATCAGACAGCCTTGGTTCAAAGCCTAGCCCTTACACCTATTTTCTTGTGTGACCTCGGGCAAGTTACTTCATCTAATTCAGCCTTCGTTTCTTTATTCTGCCTTATAATGACGTTGTGAGGATTAAACAGAATCATGTACATAATGTACATAATGTATTTAAGGTTAAATAGTTATGTAACAGTCATACAATGGAATCCTAAAAACAGTGAAAATAAATGTTACATGCAATTAACACAGATGAACCTCAAACATACAAGTTAACATAGAGGAATACATAGAAAATTATTACATTTAAATAAAGATTCCAGAGTAGGCAAAATGAAATAATATATATTTTTTAGGGATACATACATATATGGTAAAAATGTAAAGAACTGATTACAAAGTTCTGAAACAATGGTTATACTTCCCTGGAGGAAAGGAGGTGAAATGATTATTTAAGGGTTTCAAAAGTACTGACTAGTTCTTAAGCTAAATGGTGGGAATAGGGCTTCATTTAAAAATTATTTTTAAAATGTCTGACATATTTCAAAATAACAAAACATAAGATAGTTAACTAAAAAATGTTCATGATATTTGGAAATAATTGAAGCTAATACACTCTTTGTTTAAGTCTAAATGTCTGTAGGATGCATCCATGGTTATCCAGCAGAGTCAAGATCTGACCCAGGACTTCTGTGTCCCATCCCATAATAATACCATCTTATATTTTATTGCAATAAATCATATTAATATATACAAATTTTATGATTTTACTCACCACTCTGGTAGTACTTAGAATCATGTGTCCATCTGAAGCCAGTGCAGAGGCCGAAGTCAGTCAATTTAATATGACCATCACGATCAATCAAAATGTTATCAGGTTTAATATCTCTATGAATAAAACCCATTTTATGAACACTTTCAACTGCACAGGTAAGTTCTGCTATGTAGAATCGTGCCAGATTTTCTGGAAAGATGCCCATTCTAATTAGTAGGCTCATCATATCACCCCCAGGAATGTAGTCCATTACAAAGTATAAATTGTCCTTATCTTGGAATGAATAATATAGACGAACTACCCATTCATTGTCAGCTTCAGCCAGGATATCTCTCTCAGCTTTAACATGAGCAACCTGATTTCGAAGTAGAACATCTTTCTTTCGAAGAGTTTTTGTTGCATATAATGCCTTAGTATCTACTTTTCTTGCTAGACAGACTTCACCAAATGCTCCTATTCCTAGTGTCTTTATCTTCACAAACATAGACTTGTCCATTTTAGCCCTCTTAAGACGGATGTAATTAGACTCTTTTTGGCAAAGCATCTTTCTCATTTGATCCTGGGCTTCTTGAGATAATCCAACCTAGGTAAATAAGCTAAATGTTAAATGAAGAATTATTTTCTATACAAAATATTAAGAATAGCTTGTAAAAAATCAAGCATATAAAGGTTAAGTGCATAATTTTTAATAAAGCATGTTAGAAATCTAGAATATATTTCAGAGAAAAATCAATTATCAAAAGTGCAACTTAAGGGATAGTTAAGAGAATATATAAAGTGAGTGTAAGATCCTACTGTGGAGAGCAAGAAGATGATACCAATGGTCAGCTTTCTACTCCTAATGTACTCAAAAATGTTCCCAATGTGCAAAAACCAAACCTCTGTTCACATGCATCCTCATCTATCCTTTTATGCGTATTCATTCCAAATTACATGATTACTTTGCCTTCATTATATGCTTCTCTTTGAAAATATCTGGTCCTCAGATACTCTTCCTTCCATTTTACCCTTCATGAAAAGAAATTCTTTCAAGTTCATTTATTCTAAAAATTGATGTATTAAGAACAGAAGAATATCTTCTCTAACTATTCATTAATAGTCTTTCCTTTATCTTTCTCAAAACATTAGAATTAAGGGTATGACTCACAGCCATCACTAACACAAAATGCAAAGAGTTTCTCCGACTTTATTTTTCTTTCCTACTTTGTTTTAAACTAACTTGTGTGATTACCAGGTATCTTTAAGATCTTTTGGAACATTTCAAAGAATAATCAGTGTGACTTATTAAGATACACAGGTAAAAACCAAAACCAACTTCTAACTAGATATGAAATATCTAGATTTAGAAGGAAAAGTTTATTTTTGGCTAGCTAATAACTAATGAAAAGTAAAGTCTAATTCAAGAAATGTAAGACTAATGAAAATATAGCAATCTCATGCTTCTGTTAGGATGTGTATTTGCATGCAAAATATTTTAAGAAGGGTGGCATGCCAGTAGTATAGAACTGTTTCTCTTAAAATCTTACTTGCCTACACAGTAATGGAGGCTACAGAAGTCAGCAAAGCTTCCAACACCATAAAAGTTTAAATCAGCTATTAGTGAAAGTGAAGAGGAAAAAGGAAAAATAAACTAAGAAAATACATACAGACAGACTTTAGTAAGAAATCCTAAGAGCTAAAATATGGATAAATCATATAATCATGGTATTTATCTAACAAAATTCAATTTATAGCAAGAACAACAACACTGTGAAATCAGATTTAGAGAAATAATTTTAAAAGAATGGCTTTCTTAGGTTGTGTGAGGAAATTTCATTACAAATTTAAGCCTCTTGGACTTTGAGCAATAGATGAAAAATTAAGAGTCAAACCTTTGGACTGTAAACACATGATAAAAATAATAATAACAGTACCACTATATCTAATGAAGGCATCTATATGGAATCACAATAGAGATTAAATTTATTCTGATCTCCTTTTAAGTGGACTTTGATTTAATAATTTCAGCACATTTTTCCAGTACATTATAATAATGAAATTAGATGGGTAAATAACTGGAGGGAGATGTCTCTGACATTTTCAAATAAGACCAACCTGATGAATAAACCCACAAGTTCAAAATTACTAAGTAAAGGGGGGCGTGGTGGGCTAGAAGGGCTCAATGGAGGAAAAAAGGAACGTATGTAATACTTTCAACAATAAAGATTTTTTAAAATTACTAATTAAAAATGAATTTTTCATAAATGTATCGAGA